TGCTTTGTGGGACCGCGCAGACCGGGAAGCGCGTGGCCCAGCCGCGCACGGCCCGGCAGCGAGGCGCGCTCCTCTGAAAGGCGCCTCACCCGTCACTGCTCACCCTGCGGCAGGCGAGAGCCGCCCAGCTGCTGCATTTGAAGGTCACTCTGCTGGGATGAACGCAGCTGCTCTCCAGAGATGTCCTACAAGGCTGCAGTCCCCCTCTAGCAGCCCCTCCGGATCCGGGGATCGCTCTAAAGTGACTTGGTTTGCTTCTGCATTGATCCTGCGCGTGTGCACGCGCGTAGGCTTCGCGGAGTGGAGCTGCACGTGTCCAGCTCCCGGGCAGGCTGTCCCAGCGGCCTCCCAGGCTTGCCGGTTGGGAACCTGCTAGTGCAGCTCTCCGTGTAACTGAGTCCCCACTCCTTCCCAGAGCTTCCTGAGGACCATGCTGTCATCTCGAGCAGCACTACATGGCTCAGCTCAGCTCAGGTTCCTGCAAACATCTGCAAATGGAGGGCACTTACCCAGCTCTCTTCTCCCAGCCTCTTTCAACCCTGATTCTTTAAGAGGCCGGTTGAAAGGCAACACTGTTCTTTTTTTCAAGTAAGCAGACCCTGCATAGCTCCAAGCACTTCAGATAAAATGGTGTGGGTGAAGGAAACCTGCAGGAGGAAAAAAAAGAGCTTGACACCCGATCTCTTTGCAGAGGGAAAAGGCTAAAGGTGGGTAGCACTCTGCCCACGTCAGCTGGCCATTACTGCACAGCCGCCCCGCCGAGGCAGTCGGCGCGTGTTTGCACACACTGGGGCACTTAAATATCACCAGCCAAAAGAAAATAGATTTCTCAGCCCTCTGCTTCTTGCTTTCTGTGCTTTGCTTTATCTGCAGGCAGAGCACAGAAAGTCTCCTGATGCTTCCAAGCCACAGCCCAACACATCAGCTGCTGCCGTACCGCCAGGCACACTTCCTCGCTTGCGGTTCTCCCCTGTCTCCCTGGCGGCCTAATGTTAGCTGAAGATAATTAGGCCTCAATTATCACTAGGAAAGCCTTAAACCCTTTCCCAGCACAGCCTCGTGGCTGCTCGCGCTGGAAGGCAGGGCTGGCTGGCTCCGTCCGTCGCGTGTGCGCCGGGAGCGCTGAGGTGCCGCATCCGTGGCGTGAGCGGCAGGACCTGGCTGTGCTGGGGGGTGAGACGGCATTGCATGTCCGTGCACCTCTGGTTCTCCGTGAATCGAGGCATCTCCTCGCCTCTGCGGAAAGCCTGTGGCTGGCTCCCCCACTCCTTGGCGGGTTTT